AAACAAAAGGTTAGGAGGGAAACCTCCAAAATAATAAAAGAAGGAGCGAGAATAGTTACTGGACATGAGAAGCCTATTTTCCTGAAAAAAAATTGTAACCAAAATATTTAATAAGTTAAAACCGACAGTAAGATTAACAGTTCGGTCAATGAATGCCGAATGTTTCCTTATAAAAGAAACATTGAGCTAACATTGCCATTACCATTAAACATAAAATATATAAATCCAAGTAGTAAAAACGCTTTTAGCTTATCAGAAATGCATCCTGCAATTGCTGCAGATCGAAATACCATTGTATTTGATTTTACTTTAAAGACTTGGATTTTAAATAATCAGCGTAATGCAGAATGAATAAAATGATTTAACACATTATATACATATGATATGCATTAACGGCTAAATTACTAAAAAAATCACTTTATAGCGAAAATTAGCATGAATCAGCACACTACAAAAAAAAAAAGATTTCCTTTTTTCCGAAAAAATGTTTTAGGAAAAAAATTTTAAAATATTTTAAAACATATTTCATTGAATAATTTGACAAGTTTTTCTACTTATTTTCAATTGGATTCTTTCATATTCACGGGGAAGTTTTTTTGTCATTATTAAAATGTCTTAAGAGAAAATTTCGTATTGATACATATTGCTTTTATTTTCAAGTGTATGGTTAGACATAGCAAATTGTTACTCAGCTCATCATCAAAAATAGTGTTGTTTATTTCTTGATGAATGTACTTAACAAATATTTGTTTTCGAAAGATGAAACCAATGGTCATCTGAAAGAAAATACTTTTTTTTGAATTCATTATTCTGAAAATGACCAATCTATCAAAGTGAATAATCCGACTGAAAATGAAATGGATCTAAATGAAAAAAGTCGACAAAACTTGTCGTCCTTATTTTTCAGAAAAAAACATTTTTGCAATGAAAACATGTTAAAGCCAAAATAGACGATGTAATATATATAATTTAATTTTTTTTTAATTTAGGTCAGCGATTTGAATAATGAATTATATATCAGAAAATAGTTCATATTTATTATTAGTATCTCACTCATTTTTTATACATTCTTTTATTGACTCCTCTTAATTTTTTTCCGTCAGTGCAGGTTAGGACCAAGGAAGAACAACACGAACACAAGAGTAGAAATAACAAAGGTATATTACATGAAATAATAATACAAGATGTGGAAGGTTAGTTATATGACTGTCAGTCTGGTTTGGAGTGAACTAATATCGGCTCAACTATATTCGACTTTCTCTTGAGAGGCGTAGTGTACATATATATCTGTTATGGAACAGTTCATTCTGTAGTTATAGGTATAGGACCCATGACATTCCTGTTAAATTTTGTTCCCCACCTTCATTTTGAATTCCTGTTCTTCTTCGTCTGTTTCCCTGAGTCAAGGCTGAGAAAAATCTTTACCTGCATGCATTCAATCCCCATAGATATGAGAAGGAAAAACTAATTTTATTTTTTTCCCTGGAGTTATTTTTCTGATTTCTTTTTTAATTTGTAGGACTTTGAATTGAATCGTGATTACGATTCCTGAACAATTATTGATTTCAAATTTATAATTAAATGAGTTTCATTTCCTTTTCTTTCTTTTCTTTTATATTTAATTTTATTTATCTTCTGGATCATGAATGCCAAATGCAATCAATTGTTTTTAAAAAACTTCTGCATGATTTATTGCCCATAAGACGAATTTTTGATTGTAAAAAAATTCTCTATAACTTTTTCCTATTGCCTCTTGCTCTAGCATGACCCAGACCAATTTTTTTCCAAACCTGCGAGTAATTTCAATATAATTTGCGTTTTTTTTCCTGACCTTTTTAAAAACCCATATTAAGGATTTATATGGTGATTGGTTAATCAAACCACACACTTGAAACTGTGTTTACCTTTCCACATATTTTGTTAAATACAACTTTTTTTCATTGACCATATTTACCATATTTACTTTTTTGAAAGAAATTTAATCTGTAAGAAGCCCCGTCTGAAAAAAACAAAATTTATTGACACGTTAGATGAAAAATTTATTTTTAATAATCAAAACAAGAAGAAAAAACAATTATATAGTATATATATATATATATATATATATATATATAAATATATAAAATGCAAATTGTCCCATAATGATGGGACAATTTAAGTGGGCGTATCTTAAAAAAATAACATAAAAACCAAAAAAATTTAAAAACAATAACTGATTTATAGTTAAGATTTTGTAAATATAATCATCTAAGACCCTGAGATGGTTACCACCATGAAGAAACATATACAAACTCGAATTCATTTCAAACACAGCTGACGTTGCCTGTCTCGCAGAAGTTAGTCCCAACACGCAAGATCATCTGTCAGAATGTTGCCTGTCACTTACAAGAATACTGTCGGTGTTTCCTTTGGGTTGCAGCAATGGATCTTTCACTAGTGACAACCTATGGCGTCCAAAACGTAAAGTCAATTTCTTTGAAAGATGCATTGAAAGGTAAAACCGTCAAAAAGTGATATCTGATATTTGTAAGAAATAGCAAAATCTTAGATCCCAAGTTGAAATCTTACTTATTATAAAACGCAGATTGTGTTGTGTGTGTGTGTGTGTGTGTGTGTGTGTGTGTGTGTGTGTGTGTGTGTGTGTGTGTCTGTAACGTTTATATATTGGATCGGATTTCCTACATTTTTCAACCGATTTCAACAAAACGTCACAGGACTACATAAAATTACCTTGTGGTGGTTCTAACAGCGCCAAAAATGGGAAAAATATAATTGTTTTTGCACAAAATCAATTTGAAAACACGATTAAGAGACATCGTGAAAATGGAAGGGGACAACTCACATCAGGTTGTTTGTGTGTGTGGGTTCCTTTAAATATGGGAGAGGATTTCCTATATTTTTCAGCCGATAAAACAAAACTTCACTTTTTTTTTTTTGGCAGGTAGTGTTTCTTATTCTCTTGCACACTTTTTTTTTTTTTTTAACATTCAGAATGCTTTAAAAATTCCATTTACAAGACAATTATTTATAATAAAATTCTATTCAATTGGGAGACTCATAACGATTGAAAACAATGTTTTTTTTTGAGTTTGGGTTTGACCAATTCAAAAAAAAAAAAAAAAAAAAAAAAATAATTAAGACATGCGTGTCCGTCAACCTTAAACAATAATCTAACGATCTCTACTGATTGTACGAATACAAACATTGGAATAAATTCTTTATCTTTAGGGAAAGATAATGAAATCTAAACATACACAAGTCCTAACTAAAAATAATAACCGGAACGGGAAACTACTTTAAATAATACATATGGTGTCCAATTTTTTTACTGTATTCAATAAGTAAAAATCATAAATTGTAAAAAGATTATTATTACAGAAAGGCTACTAAATGAATAAGATTTGTTAGATCATAATTAATAAACCCAAATAAAGTTAATATTTTTGTATTAGAAACAACGAGTGGAAAATATATTCAAATCAGAATTCTAATTATGAATCACCACAAGCAAAATATGCAATTTTTTTTTACTGTATTCAATAAGTAAAAATCATAAATTGTAAAACTAAAAGATTACAGAAAGGCTACCTACATTTTTCAACCGATTTCAACAAAACTTCACTTTTTTTTGGCATGTAGTGTTTCTTATTGTCTTGCACACATTTTTTTTTTTTTTTACATTCAGAATGCTTTAAAAAATCCATTTACAAGACAATTGTTTATAAAATTCTTCTATTCAATCGGGAGACTCATAACGATTGAAAACAATGTTTTTGTTTGAGTTTGGGTTTGACCAATTCGTAAAAAAAAAAAAAAAACAATTAAGACATGCGTGTCCGTCAACCTTAAACAATAATCTTTGTCAATTTTATTTTTCAGTCTTTATGATGGTGGATACTTGATCTATCTCTTACTGTTATATCCCCGGGCAACGCCGGGCTCTTACTATATATATATATATATATTATATATATATATATATATATATATTCTATGTCATTTTTGGTAATCGTCTTTATTTATTCTTAGTTATGTAATTAAAAGATATTTTTTGGTATAAAAAGATATGTCATTTTTGTAATCGTTGTGATTGTGTTATTATTTTTTGTGAATGAAAACAACTATTTATTTGTCCTTTTTATTTTATTTCAAAAACATTATTTTTATTTATATAATTTATTATTTCTTTTTTTTTTTCTTGAAAACGATAATTTAATAATCAACATAGTTTATTTTGAAATTTAAAATTTTTGACTGGATTACTTGTATTGCTATAAGATATAATTATTCCAAATATTTTTGAAAAAAAGATCTCAAGCCACAAAATATTTCCTAATTCCATTTTAAATTTTTTCGTTTGATTTATTATGATAAAATATCTCCTTGACAAATCTGATAAAAAATTGTTCAAGATTGTAAAATAATTTTGTTTTTTTAAAAAATAATCTTTGAATCAAATGTTTTTTTTTTTCATATATAATCACAATATTCATATAATATTTAATTATTTTCTTGATTGAACCGCATGTATTATTTATTCACATAATCTTTCTAAAAAATTCATTAATGAAAATATTTTTCATTTTTTTTCCCTCTTGGATATATCCTTCTTTGAACTAAAGTATTTTTTCTAGTTTAATAATTTTTATTTCTAATATAATTTTTATTTCTCATATGCAAAAGGATTATTATCTAAATATATGATAACAGTTTATATAATCCTTCAGGTTTTGGGCGATAATGGCAAATCTATACCTTCCTGTTTCAGTTCATCATTTTTAACACAAACATTGAAATCATCTTTGATCAGTTTACTGATCTTCTTGCTTTATCTATTCACCCTGTTTCATTTTCTTTATTTGTGTCCTGAGTAGAAAGGTCAATAATTGTTCTCCATTATTTTTATCCACCTTCCTCATTATGTCTTCAAAATTGAAATTTCAGTTCATTTCTGATTCTGTCATATACATCTATCTTCTTTTAAATTTTTTCAAAAATAGCTTTCAATATCTATCTATCTATCTAAATCTATCTATCTATCTTCTATCTATAAATCTATCTATCTATCTTCATTCTCATTTTCTTCTATCTTTCTATCTATCTATCTATCTCCTTTGGTTTATCTATCTATCTTTCATTCTTTCTATCCATAATCTATCTATCTATTTAAACATCTTCTCAGTCTGTTTTATCATATATCATATCTATCTATCTATCTCAGTCTTTATTTTCTATTTCATATCTATCTATCTGTTATTTATCTATCTATCTATTATTGATCCGCAGACAAATTTATTTTTTCTATATCATTTTTCTTCATCTTTCTATGTATTTCTTTTCTTACATTCTTCCGATTGTTCTTTTTTCATTCATCCATTCATCCGCAGACACTATATTTCTGATTCTTAAAAAAATTTCTTTTCAAAGTCCATTGTCCCTTTGAAAGAAAGGAAGTCTTGGCATTTTTTTTTTTTTTTTTCCATCTCATCTCCCTCTACCTATGGATTAAATACCAAATAAATAAGAGGAGGAAAATTCTGATTTCAAAACCGTGGATAATTTAACGGGAAGCCAATCCGCTATCTTTAATAACAATGTGTCAGAAAAACAAAACGTGATTATTTGGTAATTATTAACTGATATGAAATTATTATTATTATTATTATTATTATTATTATTATTATTATTATTATTATTATTAACTGAAAGGTGGAATAGGAATAGTCCATCATCGTGCATTGAATAAAGGAATCGGGTCAAAATTCCAAAAAGAATATCAAATACGAAGACAGAAACCTGATGAAGACCACAGGGAACAACGACTGAAACGTTGTTCGTATAACAACGATGATGAACATGCTGGTTTTTATTTCTAATACCATGACCTTAGTAAGTAAGTAGGCGATCATAGCTCTCCACAATCTCATCTAAACACACATTCAGTTCGAATAATAATAATCAAACTACAAGGACCTTGAAATTGAAATCTCAAAGATGTGGCACATGAGAACATCAACAGTCCCTATGGTAGTCGGGGCCTCAGATTGACTGGAAAAGGATTCCTGGTAGCCCATACCTTAAAGAAATACAAAACATTGTTCTCACGAGTATAAACCACACCTTACGAAGGGCTTTATCTATGTAAAATATGTGTGTGTGTGTTATTTTTTAATTGCTCAGTGGAAATGTCATGATGCCATTTCTGACCTTAGGTCTCTGGTCGGAACCCGGAAAGAAATGTGGACACACCAGAAATCAAAGGAAATAAAACAACAACAACAATAATAATAATAATACTTCGTGATCTGAAGAATTCGGATAAAGATGATAATGACTCATCTTTAAATTACAAAAGGGAAGAACGGCGTTTCTATTTTCCAGTTTTGGACAACATTTATGAGATTTATTAACTCTAGAGGGAAATGGATGAGAGATGAGGGAAATAGAGATCGATAGGGAATCGATATAGATATATTTAGTTACGAACAGCCAGTGAGAGAGAAATATGAAAAGCACACCAGAGAAAAATACGAAGAAGAATCGGGAAAACAAGAGATACAAAAAGGCTGTATGGGATAGATAGATAGATAGATAGATAGATAGATAGATAGATAGATAGATAGATAGAGAAAGAGAGATGAACAGATTGTAATATATAGATGGATATGAACATAGCGAGATGAATATATACAGTAGGTAGCAAAAGTATTTAACACTTTGGTTTTTCTTACATATCTCAAAAAATAACAGATCAATTTCAACGAAACTTATAGGGAATATTTAAACGAACATTGTCGATGAAAACATAGAAGGAAAAATTTAAAACCACTGTTTTGAGAAACATTTATTAACAATAAATAAAATAACCCATATGCAAAAGTATTTAACACCAATGCAAATATTTTGCTAGAAGAGACGTGTCGTCATGATTCCTACCCATATTGATATGATGTGATATGTCGACCAATGACAGCACTGCACGACACTCAACTGGCTATTAGATAACAGCTCTGAGACACTGCAGCTATTCTGTTGCCACTACTGCAAAATGTTTTAACGTGAAAACAAAAAATTGTCGAACGACATGCGCAAGAAGATCATAAAGAATCACAAAGATGGTAAGGGATATAGAAAAATCGCTCAAGATTTGAATTTGCTTGTGAGTACAGTTGGTGCCCCTTGTTCGAAAATGGAAAAAATTCGATACTATTGAAAACATTCAAAGGAGTGGCCGTCCCCGTATCTTAAATGAGGCTAATGAGCGATACATTTCCCGTACTGTGAAGAAAAATCCATTTTCAACACGTCGAGAAATTCAGAATGATTTGAAAAATGCTGGAATTGAAGTTAGTAAAGATACAATTAAAAAATCACTGAATCTTGCAGTTCTCACTTCAAGATGACCGAGAAAGACTCCATTACTGAAACGCCGACATGTACAAGCCCGTTTGAATTTTGTAAAGAAATATGAAACTAACTTTAGTATCGAGGTAGAAGTAATTGATAGTGTCGTCAGCGTAGATGACAAATTGAGAGCTGATGTCATCGGGAAGGTCGTTAATGAAGATTAAAAACAGAGTAGGACCAAAGATGGCGCCCCGGGGGACACCCGCATTAGTACGAAGAGATACAGATGAATTCTGTTTAGGACAACTTTCATTTCACGATTTGATATCAGCTCAAAAATGTGCCGGGAGATACAATAACTTTTCAGCTTGTGGAAAAGACCTGAAAGCCAAATCTTGTCAAAGGCTTTCGAGATATTCAGTGCTACAGACCGGGTTTTACATTTTTATCTAGAGCATTATAGACTATTTCTACAATTATCATTGGTACATCAGCAGTTGACCCGGAGAAACGAAAGCCGTATTGCTTGTCTGAGAAAAGACCCTGTTATAAGAGATGATGAACCAATTCAGCATTAATTAGGGCCTTCAGGAGTTTCACACACGCGCGCGCACGCACACACACATACACAGGCACACACACAGATATGTCTATATATATATTATAAATTAACTGGTTTAAAATATGTTTTTTTTTCGCTACACAGTAATAACCATGTTTCAAAAATGGAAGCTAAAAACTTCAAATTTAATTTACGTTATTAATAACTGATACAACAAAAGCTAATAAAAATGAACACGCTACCACCCCTGGTCTGAATGATTGGATTTATCTGTATACTTGGAAACAGTGAATTATGAATTTTTGTGTGCGTTTAAAACTCAGTAAATATAAAAAATAAGTTATTCCAATATTCGCTTGAAGATGAAATGGAACTAATGTTTATAATTTAATTACAAAATTAAATTTGAAAATTTTAGCTTCTATTTTTGAAACATGGTTATTACTGTGTAGCGAAAAAAAACATATTGTAAACCAGTTAATTTATAATATTTATGCTCTGTAAATTTACATTGAGCACTGTTTTGTAAAAATAAAAAAATATCAATAAGAACACTGGATTATATATCTTACTGTTCTTCCATTATATATATATATATATATATATATATATATATATATATATAAACATATAAACAGATTGTAATAGCTAGATAGATAGATAGACATAAACGGATTGTAAGAGATAAATAGATGTGAGCAAACTGAGATAGGTAGATAAATATGAATGGGTTGCGAAAGAAAGAAAGAGAGAGAGAAAGAAAGAAAAAAATAAAGAAAGAAATGGACATACTGAGATCGATCGATCGATCGATCGATAGATAAATAGATATGAATGGATTGTAAGCGATAGACTGAGATAGGTAGATAGATAAATATGAACGGGTTGTGAAAGAAAGAAAGAAAGAAAGAAAGAAAGAAAGAAAGAAATATACTGAGATAAATAGATGGCTTGTAACAAGACTGAGACCTAAGCCTATATTTACAAGGCAAGAAGGGGAGCGGCCAAATTGGTGTAGTAAATACGAAATCAAAACAAACATCTTCTGATGTTCGAATGATTTTTGCAAGGCTAATGACCGGGTCTTAAAATGACGAAAGTGAATGACGTTTGTCCTCTTTATGCTGGTTTATTTTTACTAACTATATACGAAAACAAATACAGACGAAGAGGAATGGTCAGATTGGTCGATAATAGAATATAAAAACGAAATCGAAAAATCGAAAAGAGAAAGAGACTTCGATAGAAACACAAGCTAGAACTGTCTAGACTGGCTTTGCTTTGTGACTGGAATTCTTACGAATTTCTCCCTGGGGGTTAGAAATCGGTGATCGCATTCAATTGAAAACTAATTTTTTTAGATTTTAAGCAGGCAGACTATCGTCGCAAAATCTTTTGAATCCTATTCTACAGATTTGTGCTGTAAAAATCAAAATACAGTTACACAATCCTATATCCGAAACTCTTGGGGGCCGTTATGTTGCAGTAAAAACACGTGACTACCCACACCACGAGCGATAAGCAAGACTACAAATATTATTAGTTTATTTATAGTGTAATCTACTTATAAATGAAAGAGATGGATAATTAAGACCATAAGTAATGTGTAGATTTTATTTATTTCAGACAAATGATGTTCTGTATAACTTAAAAAATGAACACCATCAAACGATAAACTAAAAAAATATGATGTGATTTCCTGTCTCCCTGTTGCTTCTTAATCATTTGTCTCCAACCAACTGTATATTGATACTCCCCCTTCAATGTTAAGTCCTTTATAGCATATTCTAGTTTGTTTTATGACCTAAACACCAGTTAATGGTATACGCTTACGTCTTCGTTGTCGAATCAATTCAATTAGCAAACGGTCAAGATCTTCATTTTTTTCTGTATGTTGTGTTTTCCTATTGTTCATTAGTATTAGTATTGTTCACTATAAAATTCAAGTAACTTGTCTTTCTGTTTCTTTAAATCATCCACAGTAGTTGTTCCGACGCCATTTTTCTCAGTCAGACGGCGCACAGGTACTCCAACATCAAACTCCTGAAAAAAGAAAAAGAAAAATAAAGCTCTTTTTTGTGGTATTGATAACAAGAGATGCTTCCTTTTATTTTTCTCGTTTTTACCCATAAAGGGAATCTGCAGGTCTTTTTGATATTTTCTCTATAAAATATCATAATAATTACGAAAAGAAATATAATCAGCAAACAGCACACACACGTTTACCGAATACGAGCGCTTGACAACAACTGACGGTTGGCGGGCTTAGGTCGCTCAGCCAGGCTGGGGTGTGGTGGGTGTGTCGGGCCGATCATGATACCGGTTACCAAGTCTCACCTAAGTAGCGTGGATCAAAGTATTTTAATAATTTTGTTTTCAAACTCCACACTAAAAAAATATTCGGTTTCCAGAGGTTTTCGGTTTTCAGATGTTCGGATACGGGATTGTCAACCTGTACAGAAGAAAAGATTTACTATACGCTAAAAGGATTTTTCAAACCTTCAGTGGGTCGCGAGATAAAATGGTTCGTGACAAAAAAAGGAAAAAAAAATACCCTAAAACACACACACACACACACACACACACACACACACACACACACACACACACACATATATATATATATATATATATATATATATATAAGGTATCTTATTCCGGGGTATAAGCTATCTAACGATCTCCACCAGTCGCTAACACAAGCCCTTCTCGTTAAGAAGGCGTCTATCAGAGGAGGACTGACATTGAAAATAAATTTAAGACAATGATTCGAAACAGACACTTAGGGTATGATGATAACTGCGTACAGACCAGCTTGAAATAGACTATTCCCATGTTGAGGTAATTTTGTTTTTTGCTCTAAAAATACGTATGCTCTCTTTTAATAAAAATACATCTAACTCTCTGTGGATCAGTTTTAATAATTAATATTAATAGGATCCACCCGGATTATATACCAACAGACCGATTACCTGTACTACACACACACTGTATACATACATACATACATACACACACACACACACACACACACATATATATATATATATATATATATATATATATATATATATATATATATATATATATAGTCTGTTCTCATGTATGCATCTTGTTTTGGATTAAGGACAAAGAAGAATTCACACTACTGAGTAAAAAGGTTATTTTTTTACTAATGCCCTTTACAACTCCTTGAGTGAACTGGGATTTTCCACATCAACTCAATTTAAGACAAAGGACAGAAAGAGGCTCGACATTGCACCTGATATGCGTGTAGCATTGTCTTCCTGGGTTTCCAATTGGAATCAGCTGCTTATGAACAAACAAGCACCGCCATCTGATTAAATGACATATTTTTAAACATTATTTACTTTACCCTGGTATTTG